AATCCAAACCATAAATTTAAAAACTGGCTTGTCCAGATGAAAACCAGCCTGGTGGCAACACTAGCAATGCAGGGAAGTCCTGCAATGCTGTATGGCAAAACCACATTAGCCTATTTTATAGAGATTACAAAACTTTGTAAAATCTCACAAATCTCAAAGAACCGTCTGGTTTCTTTTCTTGGGAAAGTTCATATTATATGGTCTGTATATTCTTAAGTGAAGAATCAGGTGTTTCTTCTTTTGGGCTGAGAAACTGTAGCACTGCTCAATAATTTCGTCTAACTGTAAAAGTAATTAGTTTCCTTCTGATGACGAGTTGGCCATAATTGATTTAAGTACCAATGTAAGGGCAATAACATTGTCAGACTTGAAAATGCAACTTAACACATCTGCCATTTAAAATGATCATATTTGAGCTAAAATTCTCATACCTATACCAACATACATATATAAAAATATCAATCTTAATTCTTTCCCAAATGAATGAATCTGAGAACGTTGTTCTGGTTCACTTCAGTCATTTATAATAAAATACATTCAATATCTTCAGAATGTATGGTACCATATATTGTATTAGATTCATTTAAATGAAGTGTTTATGTGATAATATCAAATTCTTTAAAAACACTGACAAAATGGAAAAGCAGCCTGTCCACTGACAAGAGCATACAAAACACTGATAGTTGGCAAGTATGTATGATAATCATGTTCCTTTTACTCATTGTTCATACCCTATTAAACATGAACAATTTTTGGATTTTTGTTTTTATGAAAATAAAGCTGGCCATATACTTAAATCTATAATTGAGAAATATAAATATACATATTCTAACTAGAAAAAAATCAATATTTATATTAGTTAGATATTATTATTATTCCATAATCTTTCATGAATTAAATTATTCTTTTAAATAATTCTTTTAAATTTGTTAAATTAGACTTTTATAATTTAAATCAATATTACTAGTAACACACATCATATTTATTCAGATTAAGCCTATTCAATCTATATCATCAAACTTACATAATTGGAAGAGTAAACATTAATAACTTTACAAGCTAAATATATAATAAATTAAGCATACATTTTAAATAATTTTGTGGATTCTTTAGCATATAGATGATGTCTTAAATTATATAGAGTAAACAAATAGCATTATTATATCAAATTTATAAATTTGTCAATGTATAATCATGAACATGTACAGTACAGTACATTTCTTAGTTGTCAACATAACTTTGAAGCAAAAAATAACTATTACTAAAGTTTACCAAAATTTATTTAATTTTCATTAAGTATTTCTAAAAGTATACATAATTTATCAGTGTTTAAGATGCTTTTAGATTCTTTATAAGTAAAAAAAAAAACCAACTAAATACTAAAAAGATCTCAAACTATGTATTTTTATAAAGTCATGTCTCATGTCTTTGTTTAATAAAAATATATTAAATTATTTAAACAATTGTAAATGATAAGATCATTAAATAATCATAAATAAATATATTATTACAGAATCAGTATAATGTATTAACTTCTGACTTTTTCATGTTTTGTATATAGGCTATGTAATATTTTTGAATAAATTTGCATCAGACTGAGACTTTTCATCCAATGAAAAGTCTGAGGTAAAAACTATGCAGAAAACATTCAGACACACAAATAGTCTGAATTTAGAAATAACATGCTGTTACAAATACTATAGAAACACTTCATTAATTGTAAAAATATGGAATAATTTTTATATTAACTTATTACTACTTCCTAATGTATAAAAGATGGTTTTAATCATAAGATTTTTTTATATTTCTACAACTTGGATTTATTTTATATTTTTTCCTCTATACTGTTTAATTTGTATATTAATAATTTTTATACAATACTTTTAATATTATTTATAATTTATTTTAAAATTTATAACTTTAATGATATTATTTTTATATTTGACTACATTTTGCTTTTAAAGAACTTTATTTGATTTTTTTGATTTTATAGATTTGATAATAGCTATGAAACTACTGTATCTGAAAATATTAATTTTGTTATTAAAAACTACTGTAAAAAAAGTATTTTTAAAAATTTCAATAAATGTAATAACATAGTATTTTAAATATAAAAAAATTTAACTTCCAGAAAACTGCTACTTATAAATGCTTCTACAGAAGTCTTTGAATAATAACTGCTAATAACCTGCTGACAACTACTTCAAATAAGAGATGACAAATGATAAATAACGGTTATTAACTATAGTTAATTTTTTCTGCTTAAAAAACAGAAATTATATTACATAATACTTCTGAAAATGAAATTTTACAAATATTTTTTATTACTAACAAATTCTTTTATTTGTAAATTATAAAATTTCTCTCTTGTTCTCTCTCTCTGTTCTTAATTAAAACATTTTAGTGCTGTTCAGATAATTATAACAGACAATATATAGAATCTATAGAATCATTATAAACTTTAAATTCTCTTATTGTCATTAATTAAGCTTATTACCAAATGCCTTTCTTCTAGAATATTTCATTTCTCTATCTTAAGTACAGAAATTTAAACAGACTGAGTGATATAGACAAACTTAATATGAAACATACTATACTGTTTATACAATCTATAATAAAATATAGTAGCTAATTTACATAATATTGATGATAATAAATATGATAAAAACAAAATACCAATATATTAATAATTTAACTGTGAAGCAGCTAGAAAAACCATTTATAAACAGTATAAAAAATAAAACTAAATATTGATTAGAAACATAAATAACATTCCTATAATATAGAAGGATCAGCTTGATGAAATGTTCACAGGGAAAAATAAATTGAAATATGATCAGAGCATTTCTGATCACATATAGATAACCTATTAATAATCTAGACAGAGAGATAGAGAAATAAAATAATATCATTTCTCTTATAAATAGTCTTTTTTGAAAATCTAATATGCCGAATGTTTTATTCATTGGAAATTATATGACTTATAAACAAAAATCAACATTCAGAATATTATTAAGCAAAGCAGATGAACAGTATATAAATAAAAATGACAGAAAATTAAAATAAATCAATTAATTTAACACTTCATTCATGAGTTCAAACATAAATATATAGTCTATATATAAAAGATGATCTGTAACTTCGAATTATGTTATGATAAAAACAACTCAAAATGATAAAAAAATAGATCAAAAAATTGATGCAGATAATTCCAATTATTAACTTTCAGAAATGTACTGAATTTTTCTCTAAACTAAAATAGGGAAAAGATAAAGTATAATATTTAGAATATTGAGAAATTTAAAAAAAATTTAGATATAAAAATACTCTGTATCAGAAGTAGGCCTATATGCAATAGTAAGTATGAAACTTTATAAACAAATTAAATCATTTTATGTTGATATTATAATTAGAAAATTAAAAAAAAAAAAAAAATATGAAGATATAAAACTGATATAATAAAAGAATTATGACAGTCTTTGTCCAAATAGGCACTAAGAAAATACTGTAGATAGAAATAAATTGGAATAACCTTTAACATATTTTAAAAACAAAAATAAGCTTGGAAAAATAATCTAATCCATAAAGCAAATTAATGATACAAAAGACATTTAAAAACTATAAAACTGAAATTGAAAAAAGTAAATAAAACAGTAAAATTTGTGTTTTTAAATTCTTTTTCTTAATAATATATTAAATATATTGACTGCTTTACAATTTTTACATTAATCTATGAGCAAATTCATTAAAAATTAAGTAAACAATTTATATAAAAATGACAGAAAAATTGCTTTATTGGAGCAAAAAAATAAAACAAATCCTAATTCCCAAGCACTTTCAGACATTCTAGAATGATTTAAATTTAAAGCATTTCAGAGTGTTTACTTCAATTCATGAAATTCATCAATGTTAAAATAAATTACATATACAATCAACCTGATAAACATTATTAATCAAATGATACAACCAGACTCTTATCAGACTACAATAAGATAACCGGTAGTGCATCTGCACAGCAAGCAAGAATTGCTGTTTGAGTCCCACTCCTGGCCAATGTTTTCTTCCAGAAAATTCTAAATTAAATTTATTTATTTCAGATCATTAAATTGAACATGAGATGGTGGCTTAACTAGTTATTTCTAGCCAAATTGCTTAATATCTTATTGATTAATTAGCCTTACTATAGCATGATAAGAATCTCGCTGTATTGTTTGATTAATTAGAATAAATTTCTAAACTCAGAAGAGAATACAATAAAGTGCTTTTATTAATGAAAACTTTTAAATTTATTCTTATTGTATTGTTGAATGTATGTATAATTATCAAGAAAGTTATATGTTCTTAAAAACCAACAATACTATATACATATATTATTATAATAATAAGCATAAACCTTATTACTCTAATAAAATTTATTTAAAAATATAATATTAAGATTTTCAGCTTACACAATTAAAAAAAAGAAAACATTTAAAATGAAATATTGTACTGCATTTATAATTAAACCCTTTAAATAGTCAGTCAATTTTTAAAGTAATTTTTTTTCTTTAATGTTCCTAGATTTAAACATTCCATCTTCAGAATTTGTATTCTGAATGCTAAATCCTAAAATTATTAAAATAATAAATATTTCTTGACATTTAAGACTAGTGGACTGTTTAAATGATTTTAAATAAAATTTAAAAACAACACAGTTTCTACAATCAAGTTTAAAAATAAGAAAAATTAAAACTTTTAACTAAAATAAAATCAATAAAATTTAAAATGTTACAACTGTTATATGTTATAGTTGAAGTATATTTTCAGTTCATTCCAAAATATATAATTAGTTCTTTTAATAAATTTTAGTAAAATAAAAAGACTTGCTCTTAATATAAAATTTAATCTTGTAAGAAATAAATTTAAATATTATGTATTAAATAAATAAATACAATATATTTTGATTTAAATAATCATTTCCAGTATAAGATAACAATTATATTTGAAAAAATTATATTTACCATTAACAACCTTGATTCTTGGAGTTACTTCTAGTTGCCTTTCAGTTTCTTTAACAATCGCATGATATCCTTCTTTTGGTATTACATTTTCTAATTTAGGTGCTATGAAATATAACAATTATATCAATGAATTTGATTATCATTAACAGTTAAATGGTATTAATAATTACAAAACTAGATATTTAGTTTGTTTATTATAATTTATTGGAATAATTACCTTAACCAAATTCAGTTTGTCTAGCTATCAAAAAAAATTATATTTTTGTGTCTGTCTACAAATTTTCTTATTTATGTATACATCATACCTATTTTAAGATCAAACATAAATTTCATAAAATTTTTGGAGAATTAGAAAATCTTTAGATTTAATTAACTTCTATAACAAATGAAAATCTTTTAATAGCTGAAAGTTTAGAAAATGTTTAGTAAAATACATTTTGTATTTTGGAATTTAATAATTATTTAGTTTCACATTTGTTTCTGATTTATTTATATTTAAATTTAATTTTTACTATTTTTAAGTCGCTCAATCAACTACATATAACCTTATAAAACAGCAAAAACATTTATTAAACTAACATTTCTGATCATATTTAATGCATATGTATGTCATTGTAGTGTAACAGACTGTAAAATATTTTATTTTTTATTTTTCATATTTTAAACCTTGTTTGGTGTTCCAATGTTTTTGTTCTATTTTCCATCAGCTTTTGAATAGCCCTGTGACCAAAAAGTATTGGAAATAATTCAATAAAATAATAAAATTCAAATCTTGCATAATAAAATGCAAGATTTTAATTTATTCATCAAAATTTACTTTGTCCCCTTCAAAGTAATCCTCTCCCACTGCAATGCACTTAAATTCTGAACAAGTATTCATTGGATAGCACAATAAACTTTTCTAGTTTAAAAAAAAAAATACCAATTAGAAGTTGACAAAGAATAAGTATTATGGAAAAATTTGATTTTATGATCACAAACTTGAGATTTTACTTTATTATATGATTACATCAAAATTTCAAATTATCATCATTCATCTCTTTTCCCACTTACAGAGTGATCAGATCTTGACATGCTAGGCTTAGAAATGATCCCATTTTGAACTATCTCCCCATTTAACTATAGCTCCTTTAAATCTTTCCTAACTGCTAACTTCCAATTTTTCTTTGGCCTATCACTACTTCTCTTAGCTCCTAAATCTAAGTCCCTAATTTGTCTAAACTAATTCCCTAGACACAATTCTACCTCTCTTCTAACCATATGCCCATGCCATCTAAGTAGGTTTTACTAACTATCCTCCATTGAACTGCATTATCCTTTTGTTTTCATTTTATCAATAATGTCTTCCTTTTGAGTACAGTTTTAATTGTTTATTCTTACTGTAAATTACTTATTGGAATTTGGATGAAAATAATATGACAAGTAAAGAAGATAGAATGCTTCCTATTATTCCAAACTGCTCATTATGGCAGATTTATAAATTTGAAACTTGAATCTTTATTAATCTGTATTCTTTGCAAATGCATTTTTCAAAACCCTTCTCAGCTTAAAATACAAATTATGCCGTTTAAATGCAATTAAAATTATTGCAAATACATAATAATTCAATTTAATGTAAAGAACTTGCTATAAATCTTAAATAACATGTAGTAAAAATGCATACTATATCTGACATTCTCGAAATAAAGTAGAACAATATCTAGTTATGTACACTAATAATCTATATATATATATAAATGGACGTGTGTGTCCCTATATTTCACTTTTCAGCCAAAACTACACATCGCACATGAATGGTGTTTGTATGTGGTAGTAGCCCCAAGTCTCCATTCGTGCACTATGGTGGTTGCGTCTCGATAGCTATAAGGGTGCGGGAGATATAGGCTTGAAAGTGGTTGAAAGTGGAAGATTTTCTATTTCGATTTTAAAAATTTTCGAATTCGAATTTGTATTCGAATTGGTTCGATTATAGAACGATTGCAAATGTTCCAGAAAATTGATCAAATTGAAAATAGTTTGTTTGACTGGACGTAAAAATTCTCTAATTAGTCTGGAAATGGGGAACCTAATTCTTGCATTCTGTGAAAATGGGTAAGATTAGCTATAATGTAATTATCTTAATCTTAATCTTCACTATCGTTACTTTTTGCCCAGCGAAGTGGGTCCTTGCAGCTAGATTCTAGATTACTTAGAAAAACAGTCTTTTATATATAAAAAAAAAACTATATCACATACAAACAAAAACCTAGCGAAGCAGGTCTTAGCAGCTAGTCAAATATAATTTTCTAAAAGATTGCTATAATTATTCTGTATAGTATCCATTCAATAAATTCTAAAATAAATTTAATGATACTTCTAAAATATATGTAACATGCTTTTTTTATTAAATACATTTTCTACTTAATGTTCTTACATTTAAAACAGCTAATCTTTCTCCCAATGATACAATTTCCTATTATGAGCTTGCTTCTTTAACTTCACATGCTCATTGTTACAAGATAACTCTAACTCATTTCTCATACTAGTTAGATGAAGCTGATATGCATCATCCATAAGAGAAGCTCTAACATTTGCTACTACATTTAAGCAAGATCTCACAATAAACTAGCTAGGTTTTATAACTGATTGCCTGCCTGATGCCAACCCACCCTCTTTCTTTCTAAGTTAAGCTTGGAACCATCTATGACAGATGAAATCAAAATTTCACAATGAAAAAACTTTAAAATAAAGAAAATTTTCAGCTGTAACTACTTAATATATTTTAGTATAATAATTTAGTTAATGCATAAATTTATAAAATTTATATATATATAACAGATATATACAGATTAACACATTACACAGATTAAAATATAGTGTAATCAATTAATTAAAAAAGTAATTACAGTAATTAAATTATTTCATAAATATAATTGCTTGAATGATATCAAAATTCTCTGCTTTTTATGACATTATGCTAACTGCTGCATTATGATATAACTTGAGATATGAATTCACTCAAATTTCTCTTATAAGTTATAAAACAATAAACTGTTCAAGAAATGTAATTATAAAATATAATTTATTCAAATATCATGTATTTAACTTAATAAAATAATGGATACCTTTAAATTAATAACAAATTTTATTATTCTACATTAATAATATTACATACAAATGCTTTATTGTAGTAAGAAAAAATCTTGTTACAGGGGGTTAGCATTAGAGATTTACAAAAAGATAATTAATACTTATTTAAACATTTTTTAAATATTTGGTTACATAATTTTTGATAAACATAACATATTAATCATTCAATTTACAACATCATATTTCAAAATTTTTAAAATATGAACAAAAAAGTTATGAATATTATACATTTTACATAACGGAATTTTTTCTAGATTAGTTCTGAAATTTTCTTCTTGACTTAAATCAAAAATTTCTTTTAATTTAAATTTACATTGCGCTTCTTCAATCTTTGGACACTCAATAAGAATATGGTAAATATTAAAAGATTCAGACTTGCACCAGTAGCATTTCTTGGAAAAATCAATATATACATTGCCAATCAGTAACGAATTGTAATTAAGACGTATCTGAATCAGCGTGCGCTTAATATTTAAATTAGTATTTGTTGTAATAATATTCGAACTTGATGGAAAATGTAACATATTTTGATACCAATAGTGATATGTCGAATTTAAAATGGAATCTTGATCCTTGATAACAGATTGAGATAAAGCAGAATTCATCATTAAGGAGTATGCGTGTTTACAGTTGTCTTCGGTTGAATTGAGTAATAAAGTAGAAATTCCATAAGATTGTATTATTTTAACGAATTTTTGATACCACGAAACATTTTTAGTTGATAGGCTTCCATTTTGGTTGCTTATTAATTGAAATAGAAATTTAATATTATCGTCATCAGTATTTAATATGCGAAGATAAAATTTGAATAAACGTTTCAAAAAAAATGGAAAAAGTTGGAATCTATTAGTCTCTGATCTAATTGCATAACCTGGAACCGTGCGTTCAATATGAAGTACTTTACGCAGAAAAATGATATGGAATTTTTCCAAATATTTATAATAGTCTAATGCCCAAACAGGACTGGCATAAAAAAATACTGGAGCAATAAATGAATGAAACATTTTCAAATGAATTTTTAGGTTGGAAATCCTTAGCTTAGATGATAAATAAATAACATTATTTATAAGTTGATTAATTTTACTAGTAAGATAATTTAAATGGTATTGAAATTGGCCGTTCCAGTTAAAGTATATTCCCAAATATTTTATTTGATTTACTACTTCAATCGGTTTATTATTTAGATAAAACTTTTTTTCTTGATTAGATATTTTCACATTATTTCTAAATATAAGAATTTTTGATTTGTCAATATTTATAGATAAAAAAATAGATTTTAAATAATCATTAAGTGCATTAATTTTACGTTGTAGAATAATCCGAGTTGGGGCTAACAAAACAAGATCGTCTGCATATAAAATATAATGATAAGTACGGCCATTTATAAGAATTCCTTCATTTTCATTTGTATATAAATCATCAATCTCTCTTATGTAAAAATTAAATAAATGAGGCGATAAAGGTTCTCCTTGGAGTATTCCACGATGTATTTTTAAATTCGGAAATATGTGATTATTATGAACTATATTAACTGTATATGATAAAAATAAATTTTCAATTGAATTGCAGAATTTAGATCCAGCTCCTTTCTTTTTTAATTTATATATCAAAGTAGGAACATGCACGGAGTCGAAAGCTTTAGATATATCGATGAATGCCGAGAATATTTTTCTACGTTTTTTGTGAAGGTATATTTGAATAATTAAAGTCAATAGGAATATTGACAACTCAGTACCTTTTGATTTGGAGAATGCATATTGGAATTTCGAATTTAAATCCTGCTCAGAGATCCAGTTTTGAAAACGAGTAGTGAGTATTGCGGTAAAACACTTCCTAATTACAGATAATAAAGCAATAGGGCGGTAATTGTTAGGTTCTGATCGGTTTCCCTTTTTATAAATCATAAGAATTTTCGCTAATTTCCAAGATTTTGGGTAAATGGAATCATTATAAAAATGGTTGTAGAGATCAAG